CAAGTAAAGCTGCCTGTAAAGTAAAACAAGCTTTCAGTGCTTTAAAGCTTTCCTCATCACACACGAGCAAAACCGATGTGTTGTCAATGCACAACACAAACTATCGTGCAGACTGTGAGTGCCGGCTGTGGGCAGAGTTTCTCGGCCAGTGAGCGCTGTACCAAAGTGGTTAAGCAATTTCTGCCCCGATTCCCCCACCTAGCCACTTCCCTCTTTCTCTGTAAGCAAGAAGACATTTAATTTGGGTCTAGGATGAGTTAGGAATATGTTCTCCTTCGTTGCAAAAATATGACCTAAAGGTTACGATGGTGCTAAATATTTCCTTATGAAACTTGCATTTTATGTTTGAATTATGATTTGTATAAACACTTAGAACTGATTATCTTACTTTGGATTTTCATAATTTTGCATAACTGACTTTATCACTTTTACTAAATTCTGTTTTCATTAAAGCTTGTCAGAATTTAATCATGTGGGCTGGGCATGGCAGCTCATGCCTATAATCCTACCTAGCACTTTGGGAGACTGAGGCAGGGCAATCACTTGTGGCCAGAGTTTGAGACCAGCCTGAGCAGCATAGCAAGACCTAGTCTGTACAAAGAAATAGAAAAATTAGCCATGCATGGTGTCACTTGCCTGTGGTCTCAGCTACTCAGGAGGCTAAGGCAGGAGAATTGCCTGAGCCCTGGAGTTTAAGGTTGCAGTGAGCTGTGATAATACCACTGCACTCTACCCAGAGCTACAGAGTGAGGCCCGGTCTCAAAACAAACAAACTAAAAAAGGCCGGGTGCAGTGGCTCACGCCTATGATCCTAGCACTCTGGGAGGCTGAGGCGGGAGGATCGTTTGAGCTCAGGAGTTCCAGACTAGCCTGACCAAGAGTGAGACCCCATCTCTACCAAAACTTGAAAAGATTAGCGGGGCATGGTGGTGCATGCCTGTAGTCCCAGCTACTCAGGAGGCTGAGGCAGGAGGATCACTTGAGCCCAGGAGATTGAGGTTGTTGTGAGCTAGGCTGATGCCATGGCACTCCAGCAGGGAGACTGTGTCTCAAAAAATAATAATAATAGGCCGGCACGGTGGCTCACGCCTGTAATCCTAGCTCTCTGGAGGCCGAGGGGCGGATTGCTCGAGGTTCAGATTCGAAACCAAGCCTGAGCAGAGGCGAGGACCCGTCTTCGACTATAAATAGAAAGAAATTAATTGGCCAACTAATATATACAAAAAAGAAAAATTAGCCGGCAATGGTGCGAATGCCGTCGAGTCCCAGTACTATGGAGGCTGAGGCAGAAGATATGCTTGAGCCAGGAGTTTGAGGTTCTGTGAGCTAGGCTGACGCACAGCACTCACTCTAGCCTGGGCAACAAAGCAAGACTCTGTCTCAAAAAAAAACAAAAAACAAAAACAAAACAAAAAATAATATAATAAATTCAATAATGAGGAGGGAAAAGGCCATGCATAAGAGGGAAGAAAAGTTATTACCTTCATTATTTAGAGTATTATTTGAATTTTTGTTAAAGGCATTTTTTTCTTTATACTGCCTTAATTACATGATGGAGGGCATTGTAATGAGATTCACTCATTATCATTTGTTAACAATCAACTAATGTCAAGAAAATTTGATGCAAAGAATCAAGGTACTTGGGAAATGTATTTTCTTTATATGTGTAATCCTTTATAATTAATTGATAAAGTATTTAACATTTTTCTCTAATTTTATAGAACATTGTTGGGAAGAAAGAAATATCTTATGTAAGATCATACCTATCTGGGCTTTTTCTTTTTCTTTTCCTTCCTTCCTTCCTTCCCTTCCTTCTTCCTCTCCTTCCTTCCTCTCCTTCCTTCCTTCCTCTTCCTCCCTCCCTCCTCCTCCCTCCCTCCTTCCTCCCTCCCTCCCTCCCTTCCTTTTCTCTCCTGCACCCTCTCCTCTTATTTGGCTTCTCCAGTCTGTTCTATTTCCTCTGCACTGCATTTCAAGTGTATGACCATCTATTTTATTAGTGTGTTTCCATATATGATGTGACATACTAAGAGTAACAGTACAGTGTTATAATATTAACATATAAATTAAACTAAAATTTGATGTCCCAATATTATATTTTAACATGGATTTCTGGGGGATAATCTAAATGTTATTTGGAAGATTCTGTTTCAATGACTCATTTATAGAGGCAGTTCTTATTTTGCACAGTAGCATGGAATTGTAGCAATTTTCCACATCAGCAATGAATTCAATCATTGGAAATGATTGATGTGGAAATTGTGGAAAACAATAGTCACTGGGGAAAATTGTGATTATCCATGACCTTTGAAAAATCTTGTCACCACATTAAAAACGTTCTTATTGTTGGTTATGAATGTAGAAGTAAGTGAAAAAAATAGCAAAATTAGTACAGCAGTCCCCCCTTGTCTTCAGGTTCACTTTCCACAGTTTCAGTTAGCTGTGGTCAACCATGGTCCAAAAATATTAAATGGAAAATTCCAGAAATAAGCAATTCATTAGTTTTACTCATTCTGAATAGCATGCTGAAATCTCGTGCCTTCCCACTCCATCCCATCCCGCCCAGGACCTGAACCATCCCTTTGTCCAGCATGTCCATGCCATCTGTCCTGTCCACCCGTTAGTCACTTGGTGGGCGCCTCGCCTATCAGATTGAAAACCATGGTATACGTAGGGTTCCATATGACACATGACTTCAGGGGTCCACTAGGGGTCTTAGAACGTAGCCCCCCGTGGATAAGGACTTTATTTTAAAAAATTATCAACAGTACTTTGGTACTGTCTTGTCTAACTTAACAAGTGAGCATCTTTTTTATACCCTGGCAAATTTTCATAACTTCTAAGTTGGGATCACCCTCCAACATTTTAATCTCTGTTTCTTCTTCTTCTTCTTCTTTTTTTTTTTTAATAGGCTTTATTTTTTTAGAGCAGTTTTAGGTTCACAGCAAAACTGAGCAGGAAGAACAAAATCCTGTCCACACATGTGTAGCCTCCCCTACTATCAACAGACTGGTAATTTGTTAGACTTGATGAGCCTCTGTTGCTACATCATGGTCACACCAAGTCCATAATTTACCTTAGGGTTCATTCTTGATGGGGTACACTCTGTGGGTTTTAACAAATGCATAATAACATGTGTCCACCATTGTGATATCATACAGAATAGTTTCACTGCCCAAATATCTGTGCACCACCTGTTTATCCCTTTCTTTCCCCAAACCTGGCAACCACTGATCTTTTTACTGTCTCTATAGATTTGTCTTTTTTGGAATATCATGTTGTTGGAATCAAATGGTATATACCCTTTCAGATTGGTTTGTTTCACTTGGTAATATGCATGGAAGCTATTGGCAGTTGTAAATGAAGCTGCTGTAGATATTCATATGCAGGTTTTTGTGTGGACATGTTTTCAGGTCATTGGGTTAAATATCAAGGAGTGCAATTGCTGGATCTTAGGGTAAGAGTATGTTTAGTTTTGTAAGAAACTTCCAACTGTCTTCCAAGGTGGCAGTAACCATTTGTATTCTCATAAGCAATGAATAAGAGTTCCTGTTGCTCCACATCCTCATCAGCATTTGGTGATGTCTGTGTTTTGGATTTTCACGATTCTAATTGGTGTGTAGTACTATCATTTTAATTTGGAATTCTCTAATGGCATTATATTGTGCATCTCTTCATCTGCTTCTTGCTACCTGTATATCCTCTTTGGTGAGGTGTCTGTTGAGGTTTTTTACCCTTTTTTTTTTTTTTTGAAACAGAGTCTCACTTTTGTTGCCCAGGCTAGAGTGAGTGTCATGGCATCAGCCTAGCTCACAGCAACCTCAAACTCCTGGGCTCAAGCAATCCTCCTGCCTCAGCCTCCTGAGTAGCTGGGACTACAGGCATGTGCCACCAGACCCAGCTGATTTTTTCTATATATATTAGTTGTCCAATTAATTTTTTCCTGTTTATAGTAGAGATGGGGTCTCACTTTTGCTCATGCTGGTTTCGAACTCCTGACCTCGAGCAACCCGCCCTCCTCGGCCTTCCAGAGTGCTAGGATTACAGGTGTGAGCCACCGTGCCCGGCCTCTTTTACCCATTTTTTAAAATCAGGTTGTTTTGTTTTCTTGTTGAATTTTGAGAGTTCTTTGTGTATTTTGGATAGTATCACTCCAGCATTATCACTTTTTGTTCTTTTGCTGCACTTTCATCTTTGTACGTGAGTCCCCTCTTTTGATTATTCACTTTTGTAAAATGTGAAACAGATGCATCACTCAGAAACAAGCAGACAGCACTGCTACACACTTCGCTGTCTATGCTTGAATCGTATATGTGTAGTGACCAGTCACTAGCAGTCCAAAAGAAGTGACAAGATTGATCATTAATTGGTCATGATGTGCATCTGTTATTTACATAGTGATTTGTGGACTGACAAACCAGCAGCAAAGTCTGTATTTCATGCTATTACAGTTATAGACTGTAGTCGCAGAAGTCCAGACCATTTTTTTTTGGAAACTGGTGTTAACCAAACCATTGTGAATAAAATCCATGCATGTTGGAACTGCTGTAAAGCAAGGTATTACAAACAATTTTTCCTTGATTACAAATGATGTGAAGTTATTCTGAAAAATAAAGATAATGGAAATGACATGCAGGTTGGTATGTTGCCTTTTTTATTTTTTTATTTTATTTATTTATTTTTTTTGAGACAGAGTCTTGCTTTGTTGCCCAGGCTAGAGTGAGTGCCGTGGCGTCAGCCTAGCTCACAGCAACCTCAGACTTCTGGGCTCAAGCCATCTTCCTGCCTCAGCCTCCTGAGTAGCTGGGACTACAGGCATGCCTGGCTAATTTTTTCTATGTATGTTAGTTGGCCAATTAATTTCTTTCTATTTATAGTGGAGACGGGGTCTGGCTCTTGCTCAGGCTGGTTTTGAACTCCTGACCTGGAGCAATCCTCCCGCCTCGGCCTCCCAGAGTGCTAGGATTACAGGCATGAGCCACGGCGCCTGGCCTTGTTACCTTTTTTAAAGCAGAATGTGGCTAAAGTGAAAGTCTTGGTGGAGCTGGAGAGGGGTGTGGCAGACTGTAGCTATCTTCACAGGAGGGGCGCTGGGAGGAGTGACCAAGCTTGAAGGCAGTGTGTACCCGCTAGAGTTTGGTTTGGGGCCTCTGCCCTATCCAGGAAGCGATGGCAGGAATGGCTTGGACTTTCTTCTGTAACGTCACCAGCCTGGGATGGATGTCCAACAAGTCAGGTTTAAACACCAAAAGTGTGGTACTGCAAATATCCCAGTAGAAATCTGCCCAGGTCACCTATTTAAAGAGACAAATTTTTCATTTGAACAGGAAAGGTGTAACTTTATCAGCATTCCAAAATTAAACTGAATTTCTTAATCTAAAAGGTATAGTTTCTTCTAAACTCAAAACAGTCTTGTTATTACCAAGAACAAAATGTGTGTATATTAGAGATTTAGATAATTACACATAACGTCATACTTCCAACACCCAGAGGTTTCCACTGTTAACATTTTAGTGTCTAAGGTATTTTTCCATGCAGATAGATAGATGGATTTTTACTAACATGAAATCTTTAAGGTACATACTCCTCTGTAACTTGATCCAGTCTCCACCTCTCTGTGACAGTATGTTTTCTTCTAATAATCAATCCATATTTTTCCATTGATAAGGGAAACCCCCATTTATTATTTGGCACATGAGACCCCTGAGACCCCTATCGTTTATAAAAGACGTACATCAGCATAATAGTCACCTGTCACCTGGCCCATCAAACTGGTCTACTGCCTGGCGTCAACATAACGCTAAATCTATTGTCTGGCGCATCAACATGATATTAACCTATTGGTGACACATCTACTAACCTACACCTGGTGCCCCATCCCTCAGACCACCCCAACTTAATAAAAGTGGGGAAAATCGGGTAGACGGTGCTCAGAATTTGGTGGCGAGGCCCCTGTGAGCCCGCCGGCCTTGATTCTCCGACTCTCCGTGTGCCCCTCGGTTTGTCTTCCGGACCCCCGCTGCAACACTTGCTGCAACATTTTGGTTCCCTGACCGGGAAAACCCACCACGCTGGCCTCTTGAAGCCACCGCTTCAGGGCCGGGCACAGCGACCGGCGGGACCGCGGTGACAGAAGGGAGCCGGCGTCAACCGCCATTTTGGGGAATATCTTCGCTCCTCCGGAAGTCCCGTCAGTCAGCCGCGGGGCCGGACTCGCCCGGACTCGCCGGAGGGACGGACCAGTCAAATCAGTCTGGAAGCTTCCGACCAGGTGAGGTCCGGGGACCGCCCGAGCCAGGACCGTCAGACGACGGAAGAGGAGCTTCGTCCCCTCCCGAGAGCAGGGGCGTCCCAGGGCGGGAACTGGGACTCCGCCCGTGTGAGTGAGCGAGTGAGCGCGACCGTCCGCGGCTCCACGCTGCGGCCGGCACTGAGGGTCCCCACCTGCGGCTCTGCGGCCGGGCACAGCGGTGAGTCACTGCCCAGGGGAGCGACCGGGCCGGGCTGTGCGGGCACAGCTTCGCCACCACGCGCCTCGGTTCCCCTGAGGGACGCGGCCAGGCGGACACCCAGAGAAACGCCCCCTTCGTCTGTGAAGCTGCGACGCCGGTCCGGGGTCTGGGGTGGGCGGGTCGAGTCTAGGCCTGCAGCCCCTAAATGCGCGTAAAGAGCTTCAAGAAGGGTCTGACTAGAGACTAAGGCGTCACGCTGAGTCCCGGTGGACTCAGGGCCGCTGTGAACGGGAACGGCCCACGTTCGGGCGCCTGGCCCCCAGCAGGGACCGTGGACCTCCCCACCACGCGAGCAGTCTGGGGACTCGTGACCAGGACTCCCGGCCACCCCAGCCAATTCCCTTACATGATTCATGGCTAGAGGTTGCTCAGTCCACGCCCCCTGGGGTCCCGTTCTGTGCTAATAAGGGACAGAGTAGGGTGTTTGTGGCCCAAAGGACCCGAGACTCCAAACTGTCCACGCCCATCTATCAGGAAGCTCCTGAAGAGGATGGACCACCGCCGCCCTACATCCCTACCGTGACCCCTCCAGAAGTACCCCGAGTCCACCAGACACCTGAGACCCCTATTGTTTATAAAAGACGCACATCAGCATAATAGTCACCTGTCACCTGGCCCATCAAACTGGTGGGCCAGACACCCGCCACCGTCAGTCTCCCCGTTGCCAGCTCCGGACCAACCCGGTGCCGACACTCCCCTCGCCCTCGGGCTACGGTCAGCTCAGGCCCCAACTGCAGCCCTCCTGGTGGCCCTGCGTGAGGTGCGAGGTCCGGTGCAGGTTACAGACGATGGGTCCCTTCAGCCAGGGCAGCCAGTACTGTGCTACCAGCCCTTCTCCACCACTGACCTTCTGGACTGGAAGCCCCACACCCCGCCACACTCCGAGAAACCTCAGGCCCTCGTTGACCTCCTGGAATCCATCTTCCAGACCCACCATCCCACTTGGTAAGACTGCCGCCAGCTCCTTTTGACCCTTTTTAACACAGAAGCACAACGCCGGGTTGTCGCTGGGACCCGGAGGTGGCTGTAGGACCAGGCTCCAGCAGGGACATTGGACGTTGAGCAGTGGGCACAGAGACCAGCACCCGAGACCAACCCAGATTGGGACTTCAACTCCCCGAGCGGACGAGATCGGAAGGTCTCGGGAAGCTGTCCTCCACGGAGTCCTCGAGGGAGCCAGAAAACCAACCAACACGAACAAAGTCGCTCTGATCACCCAGAAGCCGGAGGAATCGCGGAACAAATTCTACAAGCGCCTTGTGAGGCCTACCGAGTCTACACAGCCTTCCACCCAGAGGCAGCCAAAAATGAGCGATTGGTGAATGCTGAGTTTGTGGGGCAGTCCTATGCTGACAAACGACGGAAACTCCAGAAACTTGACGGGTTTGCGGGAATGGACGTCAGGCAGCTGACGGAAGTGGCCCAGGTCTATGTTAATCGAGACCGGACTGCCCAGAGGGAGAGCGACAAGGGAATGAAGCAGAATGCTGCTCTCCTGGCCGCTGCCCTCGGAAGACCTGAGCCAGCCGAGAGAGCCGGCCGCCACGGGAAGGAGGACCCGGGAGACGAGGGACCCTGAAGCCCGACCAGCGCCTGGTGTAGGGACTGTGGTCACTGGAAGCACGGATGCCCCAACAGAAGAGCCGCCCACTGCCAGACAGGAAGCTGCCCAGGGGCTGCCAGCAGGAGCCGGGGACCCAGGACCCCGTAGTCTCATTGGGGTCGACTTGGAAGAGGACCAACCGGGCTCCCTGACTCTTGGCCCCCCGGGAGGCTGTGGTCACAATGGAAGTGGGGGGCCGACCAGTAACATTCATGGTGGACGCTGGGGCAGAACGCTCGGTGGCAACAACCCCGGTAGCTCCACTTACAAAGCGGGAAACCGCCATTGCCGGAGACACAGGAACTCGAGTAGCTCCACCCTCCTGCCAGTCTGGAACATGCTAGATGGGGCTGCCAGATAAGACATGGATTCCTGTACATGCTGACTGTCCCCTTCCCCTCCTAGGTCCAGCTGTCCTGAACACACTGGAAGCCCAGGTCACCTTCCACCAAGAAGGACCACGAGCCTCACGCTCGGTGCCCTAGAGACTCTCATAATGGCAGCCACCCTCCTGCCAGTCAAAAAGCCCAACGGAGGCCGAGGCAGGCAGATCTTTTGAGCTCAGGAGTTCGAGACCAGCCGGAGCAAGAGTGAGACCCGTCTCTACTAAAAATAGAAAGAAATTAATTGGCCAACTAAAAATATATAAAAAGTTAGCTGGGCGTGTGGCACATGCCTGTAGTCCCAGCTACTCGGGAGGCTGAGGCAGGAGGATCGCTGGAGCCCAGGAGTTTGAGGTTGCTGTGAGCTAGGCTGACGCTTGGCACTCTAGCCAGGGCAACAAGAGTGAGACTCTGTCTCCAAAAAAACAAAACAAAACAAAACAAAACAAAAAGCCCAACGGAGGTAAATACCGGCCTGTCCAAGACCTGCAACTGATTAATGAGGCTACGGTGACTCTCCACCCGGTGGTACCGAATCCATACACCCTCCTGGGCCTCATTCCTCCCGATGCTGCCTGGTTCTCCTGCCTGGACTTGAAGGATGCTTTCTTCTGCCTGCCGCTGGCTCCGAAGAGCCAGCCCCTGTTCGCCTTCGAGTGGGAGGATCCTCAGGCTAGAAGGATAACCCAGCCGACCTGGACGCGGCTACCACAGGGATTTAAAAACTCACCAACTGTATTCAGGGAGGCTCCAGCCCTGACCTCATCTCCTTTCTGCGAGAAGAAACCCGCTGCACGCTTCCACAATACATCGATGACCCCCTTCTAGCAAGCCCAGCCAGAGAAGACGGCCTCCGGGGAGCCCGGCGCCTGCTCCAGCTGCTCACTGACACCGGATACAAAGTCTCCTGGGAAAAGGCACAGATCTGCAGGCAGCAGAGAAGTACCTGGGTTTCCACGTCACTCAGGGGCGCCGGACACTGGGACATGAACGTGAGCACGCCGTCTGTCCAATTCTCAGGCCGAATAGACATCCTAAGCCTAGCCTTGTTCAGAGTCAGGTGCACACCGGGGCCCACAGGATATTCACCCCTTGAAATCCTGTTCGGTAGACCTCCCCCACTCATCAAGCAATTAAGGGGAGACATTAGACAACTAAAAAAATTAAATACAAACACACACCTCCAATCCTTAGCCAAAACTGTGCTCCATATCCACCACACTGTCCTAAAAAAAAACCCCTATTGCCCTGGGTCTCCCTGTCCACCCCTACCAGTCAAAAAATCTAGTCTGGGTAAAGGACTGAAAAAAAAAAAAAAACCTTTAGAGTCCACCTGGAAGGGTCCCCATACTGTGATACTGGCTACTCCCACTGCTGTTAAAGTTGCAGGTGTCACTCCATGGATCCATCACTCCCGAGTGACAAAGGCTGAACCAGACAACGAAACTGGTCTCTGGACTGCACATCAGGACCAGCAGAACCTACGAAAGATCCAGTTTAACTGTCTCCCAAAGAGGACAGCCACACCCAGGATTAAACAGAAGTAAGTACGACCACTCACCCTGGCCCTCACTGGGGTTGTGGTGACTTTACTGGGGACTGGAGTCTTCTCGGTAGCTCTGGGAGACTGGACTGGACTGCAGAGGGCGTCTCTCACTGTGGTGTTTTGGCTCATCATAGGATGTCTGCTCCTGCCTCAGTCCCCACCCTCCTCTTGGTTGGGGCACTTGCCCTAACAACTAACTGTGGCAGGGAAACCCTGCCCTGAGGCCTGTTATGCTAGGACTTAGACTCCCTCCGTTAACAGGATCACTGGAGGCTTCTGGACCACGGGAGGTTTCACAGTCCGCACCTACATGCCAAAGACGTGTTATAGGCAGGCTCAGGTGTGCCACAGTGGGGAAAGGAATACTGGACTGGCACCATTATGGGCCTCTGCATACTGAGCGTGATTATAAAATTTATAGACAACTGTAACCTAAAAAATAACAGCTCGAATAATGGCCTTACGAGGCTACCACCCACTGGGAAATGATGCCCTATAGTAGACATATAAGGGCATCAAAGGCAGGAATGATGAGGGACACCCCCATCTGTTACTTGGTGCATCAGGGACAGGGGACCCCGGCCACTCTCGGAAGACCCACATCGGCATAATACTAACCTGTCACCCGGCCCATCAACTGGTCTACTGCCTGGCATCAGCATAACACTAAATCTATTGCCTGGTGCATCAACATAATGTTAACCTATTGGTGACACATCAACTAACCTACACCTGACTGGACAGCAAGACATGACACAAGCCCCTTCCCTGTTGCAGCTTTTATTTTAAAAGGGGAAAGACACTCAAATATGCAAACTGACAGGGGTGATGAGAAGTAAAGTGAGATGAACTATCAGTTGGTCAGGGAAGACTTTTAAGAGGCAACATGTAAACCAAGGCTTGAATGATAAAGAAGGATCCAGAAACAGCGATCTGGGGAACATCCCCAGATGCTGGAATAGCATTAAATTGGATATAGATTTTTTTTTTGAGACAGAGTCTCACTCTGTTGCCCGGGCTAGAGTGCTGTGGCATCAGCCTAGCTCACAGCAACCTCCAACTCCTGGGCTCAAGCGATCCTCCTGCCTCAGCCTCCCGAGTAGCTGGACTACAGGCATGCGCCACCATGCCCGGCTAATTTTTCTATATATTTTTAGTTGGCCAATTAATTTCTTTCTATTTTTAGTAGAAACAGGGGTCTTACTCTTGCTCAGGCTGGTTTCAATCTCTGACTTGAGCAATCGTCCCGCCTCAGCCTCCCAGAGAGCTAGGATTACAGGCGTGGACCACCGCGTCCGGCCTAGATACAGATTTGATTTGGGGGCAAGACTACTCGTAGGTGGTGGTGTGCTCCTCTCTTGGAAAGCCTGTGGTGTCTGGTTGTCTCAGTTTTTGTGATTATTGGTCATCGGTGCATAAAGCCATTAATTCTTCCAGGGTTGGAAAGCAGTGATGGTTTATTTCAGTCTTTCCTTCTTATTTCTTAACTGGAATACTTTTTTTTTCTTTCTCTTTTTTTTTTTTTCATTGGCATCTCCCACTAACTGGAATCTTTATGAAGAGAAACTTTTCCAACTGATTGAGGTACAAAATGCTTTTTGCTTTGTCCTAAGATAAAGTGCATCATGAGTGTATACTGTGATCTGTAGTGCAAGTTCAGGAATAAGGTGTTTCCTTAATCTTACTAATCAGACATCTCGATCTCCTTTCTCCCACACTGATGTCGGTTCTCAGTGACATCAAGACAATTTATTTCTACACCTATAATATAGGTATAATAATACCAGAAAAACAGTACCAGTAGTGCCTAGCCTCGAACTCCTGACCTCGAGTGATCCTCCTGCCTAGGCCTCCCAGAGTGCTAGGATTACAGGCATGAGCCACCACGCCCGGCCTCAGTAGTGCCTAGTACTCCCACAATATGATTACTGAAAACAGAGTATGAGTTTTATTTTTTTGTTCTGAGAGAATATGTCTTGAGATATTTAATCAAATTACTGTGTTTTACCAACGATGACTGCTATTTCTTGAAGTAGTTCTTCACTAACAGAGTACACGTGTATTCTCCGTGTGCTCTATGCATCTCTTTGGCACAGTTAGGTTCGTTGGTTTCATTTTCCTTTTGATTTTAAAATTTTTGTTGTTGATATATAATTACATAAAAATATTTCTTTTGCTTTTTGAAGAAAGAAAAATAAATAAATAAATAAAACAAAAAATATATTTTATGGTCCCAAAGTCAAATCTCCTAAAACAGGCTTATTTAAAGGAGTTTAGCTCTTGTCCCTGCTATATACTGTATTCTCTCCCTATGGGTAATATGTTTTCAGTAAGTTTTTATCATTTTTTGGCTTGTCCTTTTATATTTGCTCATATCTTTCAAGATATAAAACATACTCACAGAATTACCAATAAGCCACTCTTTATTTCCTAAATATGTGTCCAAATCTTGTAGAAGATGAGGTGCCTCCTGAGTGAGCAGCTCATTGAACATCTGATCCTAGAAGAGGGAGAGAATATCACTTTAAGAATAATGAGAAGAAAAATAATATGATATGCAGAGGAAGCAGATTTCTCCATTTTTACTTTCCCAATTGATTTCAGAAAGGAAGAGAAGTGGCTACATTTTTTTCCCAAATATATGATACTATAGAGATTCAGGTCTGATTCTCTATAGATCTTAGTCATATCTTTATTACTCATCAATTAAAAAATATTTTTGTCACCGGTTCTTAGAGTTTCCTTGGTATCATGACTAAATAGTTCATAGGTAAAATGTTTTACCTATACAATATTTTTTATGATTTTTATCTTAATTTTTATTAATTCATTATGTTTTTAGATTTCTAAAATTCCCCTTTTCCTTAACCTAGCTCCCTTAGAGTTAAATAGTATAACTGAAGGTAAAGAAATGCATTTGATTTTATAAGGCTACACTCCTCCATGTTGGCAGTTAGTCATTTCATCATTGCATTTAACAGGTAGTATCATAATGAATTGCTATTTCCCTCTTTGGCCTGCCACTGTTCCTTAGTATGAGATTTATCAGCCTTGAATATCATTATAAAATGTTATCCAGTTTACCCCCTTTGATATATTATGTAACTAATATTATAAACCAAATATTAATATCCGTAGAAAGGGAAATCTTTATAAAACAACATGTAAAACATCCATTCTTAAAAACTGTTTTCATACTATTACTTAAAGCTCTGAAAACCAAAGAACTTATTCATGTCCTCTTTCTTGATAAGAAGTGTTTCCTTATATATAAAAATTTTGGCTGGTCCAAGTCTTGGTTATGAAATATTAGCCAAACTAAAAAATATAAACTGTTTATATGTCATTTATTAATATGTATAAATGACATATAATGAAATCCAACCTTTATTTATTTATTTATTTATTTATTTTTGAGACAGAGTCTCACTCTGTTGCCCAGGCTAGAGTGCCGTGGCATCAGCCTAGCTCACAGCAACCTCAAATTCCTGGGCTCAAGCGATCCTCCTGCCTCAGCCTCCTAAGTAGCTGGGACTACAGGCATGCGCCACCATGCCCGGCTAATTTTTTCTCTATATTTTTAGTTGTCCAGCTAATTTCTTTCTATTTTTAGTAGAGACAGGCGTCTTACTCTTGCTCAGGCTGGTTTCGAACTCCTGACCTTGAGCAATCGTCCCGCCTCAGCCTCCCAGAGAGCTAGGATTACAGGCGTGAGCCACCACGCCCAGCCAAAATCCAACCTTTATTAAGATGTCAGATAGTGGATAACTACCTCACTGATTTTTTGATTTACTTCCTGTTATGTTTATGACTTAGCTAGATTATTTAGATTACCATAACATAATGCCTCATATTCATAGACTACAATTTGCAAAAGCATCATTACGTACAGGTTAAGTATCCCTAATCCAAAATAGAAAATGCTTCAAAATAAACTTTCTGAGCTCTGACCATGACACTCAATGGAAAAATGTTCATTGGAGCATTTCGGATTTTGGATTTCTGGATTTGGAATGTTCAACCAGTAAGTATGACACAAATATTCCAAAATTTGAAAAAGAAACAAAATCTAGCATCCAAAACACTTCTGGTCCCAAGCATTTTGGAGAAGGGATCTTCAACCTGTTTTTACAGATGTTTGCCAGATCTATAAACTGAAGCTTAGAAGAAAGTTTGTCATTATTTTGACTGTATGCTCTTTATATAAGGTACTCTGTGGTTAATATGTTCATAGTTTTAAATAAAACATAAGTGTGAATACTGCTGCTGCTTACATGGATTTTGTGAGCTGAAGGAAGGAAGGGCCTTGGGCCAGAACCACATGGCACTTTCCACAGCTCAGCTCAGCCTGTCAAAGGTACTCTAATGGCCAACTTGGCTTTCCTCGAAGAGCTAGAACCGTCAGGCAGTTGAATGGCACAGGATGTGGCTTCTGGAAAGCTCTTCAAAAACTCCAGTGTGCATGCCTGGGAAATTCCATTCTTCTAATGTGCATTTCCACGGCTTCAGGTACACCAGCATTGTGTAGATGCAGTGCCAGATAAAACTATTATAACATCCTGCGTTACTGACTTATCCTTTACCCCAGCTTCTCTTTACAAGTTTGGTGAATTATTTCAGTCTAATGAAATGTAAATTCACAAACAGCATAATCGCTATTGTTTAAGGTTCATTTTAAAGAACACCAAATGAATATAAAGAAGAGGAAATTTGATTATACATCATTGTTTTCCTGATGCATATTTTTAGAAATATGTTTCCTGGGCTGGGCACATTGTCTCATGCCTATGATCCTAACACTCTAGGAGGCCAAAGCGGGAAGATCACTTGAGACAGGGAGTTCGAGACTAGGCTGAGCAACATAATGAGACCCTGTCTCTACAAAAAAATACAAAAATTAGCTGAGTGTGGTTGGTGGTGCATGCTTTCAGTCCCAGCTACTTGGGAGGCCAAGGCAGGAGGATCACTAGAGCCCAGGAGTTTGAGGCTGCAGTGAGCTATGATGATACCATTGCACTCTATGCTGGGCAACAAGAGTGAGACTGTATCTCAAAAAAAAAAAAAGTTTCCTGATTATACTTGGTGAACTCAGAATTTCCTGCCTTTTCTTTGACAGAGTTATAGAGCAGGAGATTTTTTTTTGCCCTAAGAAATCGTTGCTATAGTCTTCTAACAAATGACTTTTAGGGGTTAAGGGAGGTTTGTATATATCTCCAAAGCATTATTTTAAAATCCATGCTGCCAAATCATTTTGTATGAGAACCAGAGCATTAGAATTCCCTCAGTCCTCAACCTCTACCCCCACCCTGTTCTTAAGATGAGGAAACTGAGACATGAATACATTGAATAACCAAGATAACGCTAATGCCAAGTTCAAGGATTGTCATGGTGACCAATATCCAGAGACATATTTTGCCTTTATTTATTTATTTTTTTTTCTTGAGACCGGGTCTCCCTCTGTCACCAGGCTAGAGTGCAGTGGTGTCATCAGAGCTCACTGTAGCCTCCAACTTCTGGGCTCAAGCAATCCTCCCACCTCAGCCTCCCAAGTAGCTAGGACTACCAGTGCATGCCACCCTGCCAGGCTAATTTTTCTTATTTTTTTGTAGAGACAGGGTTTCACTATCTTGCCCAGGCTGGTTTCAAACTCATGGCCTCAAGCAGTCTTCCCACCTTGGCCTCCCAAAGCACTAAGATTACAGGCATGAGCCACTGCTCCCGGTTGCCTTTAAATTTTACTTATTGGAAATGTAATTATTAGCAATGAATACTGAAACATCTATAATTATTGTCTATATTTGATAGATTTTTAAAGCACATATAACAAGAATATTTTCACTGTCCATCTTAACTACATCAATATTCTGCCTGTGAAAAATTTCACCTGACCACAAGGTGGCAGCAATGCAACTCGGTACCGAGAGACTAAGGGCTGAAATGTGCAGTTTTTGTTCTACAGCCGGGTCTTGCTTGTTATTAATAATTATATAGTCTGTAGCTATCAGCAATGTTTCTCCAACACAGTATCCCTTCATATGATTTATTCATGAACTTGGATTGTTATGTCTTATGAAATTGTTTTTTGAAGTAGGTATGTAAGAGCATTGTTATTCTAATACAAAAGTAGAATGTTAGTCATCATAAATATTCAAAGAATATTTTCCTCTGGGAGGTGGCCTCTATTATGGAGTTTCAGCCACCAAAAGGCAGAAAATAGAGAAGTAGAGAATGGCAAGCCCATGAGTTGGTAGACTGTCTGCCCATCAGGAGGGTCTTTGGTGCATGGAACAAAAGTTTTAAGGCCAGGCAAGATGGCTCATGCCTATAATCCCAGTACTTTGGGAGGCCAAGGTTGAAGGCTCATTTGAGGCCAAGAGTTCCAGACCAGCCTGAGGAACATAGCCAGATCCTGTCTCTACAAAAAAAACTTAAAAATTAACCAGGCATGGCCATGTGCACCTGTAGTCCTAGCTTCTCAGGAGGCCAAAGTAGGAGGATCCCTTGAGTCCAAGAGTTTAAGGTTGCAGTGAGCTATGATGGCACCACTGTACTCCAGCCTGGGCAACAGAGTGAGACGCTGTCTCAAAAAAAGCAGAAAGCTTTAGACACTTTTTTTCTAAATTGGGGAGTAGGTATCTATTTGTCTCTGCATTTATAAGGATCTGTAAAATATAGCTGCCATATCTGACAAATATAAGGAAAAAGAATTAGCACTGAACTATAGGATAACACTGTACTAATTATAATAACTAGTATTTATTGAATGCTTTCTACCTGGCCAAAGGTACATAATGCTAACATTTAATCCTCCCAACACACTTCAGAATCTGTCATCTCAATTTACAGAGAGTTTGAACTCTAGATGGGTGGCAAAGTGACAGCTAGTAAGAAAGGAATCAGCATTTAAGCCTGGCAGCCTGACTGCAGAGCCCAAATGTATTTGTGTCAAAAAGTTGTTATGTTTCTATTATCCAACTGAGCTTTATTGTCCTAGTCAGGCAGATGTGTGTGTCCCCTTAAGTATGTGAAAATACTTTTATATCTAAATATCTCTATTCAAATCAGAAGTTCCTAATTAAATAGTATTTAGAACAAATACTGTTTAAATAATACTAAATAAATAGTATTTAGAATAGTGTAAAATATGTACTTAAGTAAATTGACAAGACTACCTTCCATTTGTTGCTCTGTGCTGTGCCTTTTACCCACAGGGCTATGGCTTTAGCTTTATTATGTACATAAATGTTTGTGCACAGCTGTTTCTGAGCAGCTGCTGGCACCGTGGCATCATACCTAGTAGTTAAAGAATTTGGGGTCTGAGTCAGAGTGACTGCCATTTGAATTTCTTGTGTACCATGTTAAGCTATAATACCTGCTGCTTAAAAGGCACTGCGACAGGTTTGGGGGGACATCAGTTGAATAATACAGACATGATTCTATCCTCGTGATACATCTAGCTTGAGACAAGCGACAAACAAGTAGACACGAGTTAACATAGAGGTGGCAAGGAGTGTCCTAAATGAGACCAGTAGGGAGTGGTAGTTAACAGACCAGGTCTGTTTAGAGTTCTGGGTAAAGAAGACGGATTCGAAAAACATATATAAATTTTGTTTTCACCCCCAAACCACAGTCATGCATATTTTTAAAAAGATTAAACGCACAAGGACATGGAAAAGAGGAGAGGAGCCGTGAAGCTGTAGTGCAGGGGAGGCAATGGCACCTGCAGAGGGAAAGCCGAGAACCAACCCCATCTGCGACAGAAAATCATCAAACGGCCCGGAATAGATGGAGAATTGGGGTTAAGGAGAGGGGGAGGGGATACAATGCAGATTGGTGGGAAACTATTTAAGCAGCAGTTTCAACATGAGATTTCCTCTTCATTGTGCACTGCTAGATGCCGGCCCCTTCCCCATTCTTAGCAGGATCCTGGAGAGGGTAAAAGTTTCTGGGCTGGGGGATGTCACATGTTATATAAAAATTGGAGAAGTGAATGAACATAGACATAGTGGTATCAGAAATACCCCCAAAACAGCCTCGTGATATTCAAAATCAACAATGCTTGGAGCTTTGAGTAAACTTTAAAAAATTTTCTCTTCTTTATCATGGATTATAAAAGATAAGTCTCACTCCTGAGAAAAGACAGACAAAGAGGGAAAAAAGCAATTTTGCACAAACATATGTTAGGTAAGGAGATAATATTATACCCATTAAATAAACAAAATAACATTTTGAAAGGAAAAAAACACCATAAGAAAGAGTTCTGATAAATTTAAAAACATAAAGAAACATCAGAAATTTAGAACTCAATAGAAGGATTGATGAATAAAGTTGAGGAATTGTTCCTGAAAGTAATGCAAAAAAAAGCAAAGAGATAGGAAATAGAAAAAAGATCTGACACATGATTCTATTAATTGGATAATGAAACATAGAAAATAATAGGGGAGGAAATCATCAGTGAAATAAATGAAGTTTCCTCTAACTAAAGGACAAGAGTTCCAGATTGAATGGGCCCAACAAGAGGATAGGACAATGGATGAAAACAAGTTCATACCAAAATTCACTATTGTACAATTTTAGAACTCTAAGGGCAAGTGCTCTACCATCTTTTCAGAGTGGAAAAGTATAGGCCACACACAATAATTAGATTGGATTCAAACATCTCAAAAGCCAAAAGACCATAGTTAAGTTAATGTCTTCCAAATACTAGTGAAAAATTACTTTCAACATAGAATTCCATACCCAGCTGTTCTACGAAACAAGTATGAGGATGCAATAAAAACATTTGTAGACAAATAAGGCCCCAAACTTTCATTTCCTATGATTGGTAAGCTATTGGAGGATTGTTCCACAAACAAACAAACAAACAAAAAGAGGACAGAAAACAGGAGAATGAACCCAGGAAAGACAAAAAGAAACAACCGGGATTATAATATCCCGGGATGACAACTGTGCACTGAGTGTCCAGGGCAACCAAACCGGAAGGAAGTAGTGTGGCTTGCAAGGTAGACATGTCCACACCGTCTGTCATCATCATACCTGCTGTCATCAAACCTTAATCCTAACTTTTGGACTACTAGAGGATGTGCCCCAGATAAACAATGGCGTATGTGAAGAAAGAGGACAGCATCCGGGAAACAGGACTGCAACTGCTCAGAACAGCATCCTTGGAATGACGATGAAGGGAAGTGTGATGATGACAGCTGTCCAGAAAACGTAGGAAGTGCCACAGAGGAGAATGGAGGTCTCCAAGACTGATAGCTCCAAGAAAATATTGGAAACAGTAGATGATCTGGTGTCATTAACCTCGTGGAAAATCACATTGGCAAGCTATTGGATAGTGTGGGAAGATTTGGCAATAAAAGTAAAAAGAAAAAGAGAAGAGGCAACTACTAACTTGGAGGAGGAAGAGTGAGAAAGGAATTATTACTAAAGTATGCTACAATGCACAGTCTGTATAATATTTGCATATGCATAATACATAATATTTGCATATGCATAATAACCAAATATTTTAATACCATTATATTGGGAGCTTGGAGAAGGGAAGCAGAGAGGATGACTGTCTAAGAGATAAATTTTTATTACAGGTTAAGTATCCCTTATGCAAAATGCTTGGGACTAGAAGTTTTTAGATTTTTAATTTTTTCAGATCTTGGGATATTTGCACATACATAATGAGATATCTGGGGATAGGAACTAAGTTGAAACACAAAGTTCATTTGTGTTTCACATATATCTTATACACTTGGCCTGAAGGAAATTTTATACAATATTTTAAATAATTTTTTGCAATAAACAAATTTTTTGTTAGGTATGTATATGTAAAATTCTTCACTTGTGGAATTTTGGGCTTTATTTTGGATTTTGGACTTTTGGATTAGGAATGTTCAACCTACACTATCATAAGTAGTCCATAGAAACTGTTCAAAGTTGGGTCAGTCAAAGAAAGCCATATTTACATATCCTATAGAAATACATATAGAAATATGGAGAGATGTAAATCCTTAATGAACAGCTAAATGTATTAAAAAAAAAAAAGAGGGTTGTCAATGGGGAGGGGTTAATGTGAAGGGGCAGAACAGAGAATTTGTACTTTGTTTTAAACTTTTAAAAATAATTTGATATTTTAAAACTATATGTACATATTGCTTTGATAAAAAAGACTTGTTTTTGAGACAGAGTCTTACTCTGTTGCCTGGGCTAGAGTGCCGTGGCATCAGCCTAGCTCACAGCAACCTCAAATTCCTGGGCTCAAGCGATCCTCCTGCCTCAGCCTCCTCCCGAGTAGCTGGGACTACAGGCATGCGCCACCATGCCCGGCTATTTTCTTTTTTCTATATATTTTTTAGTTGGCCAATTCATTTCTTTCTATTTTTAGTAGAGATGGGATTTTGCTCTTGCTCAGGCTGGTTTCGAACTCCTGACCTTAAGCCATCCTCCCGCTTTTGGCCTCCTGGAGTGCTAGGATTACAGGCATGAGCCACCACGCCTGGCCCAAAAGGACATTTTAAAGCACCTAAAACAATGTCTGGCAAATGGTATATGATTAATACCGGTAATTGAAAATTGATCACATTACCTTTATATCTTGCTTTTTCTCTGCCCAAGGAAAACGTGACATGAAATCGTCCAGTGTGTCCACAATAGCATCAACTTGACATTGTTCCATTTCTGTTTTTCCAGCCAAATCTATGGAATAGAGAGAGGCCCACCAGTATGTTCGATTTAATTTACTATAAAAACCTTTGGTGTTTAACAGATAGGATATTCACATGACTGAAATGTCAAGCAATATAAAACAATATCCAGTGAAGACTAGCTTCCCCCTCTGCCCCACCCACCTCATTTTGTTTCCTACCTCTCTTATTATTAACCACTTTTATTAGTTTCTTATGTGTTCTTCCATTGTTTCTTCATGAAAATATAAGCAAATAAGAATATATATCCCACTAGATCTGCCCATATTTAACTAGCCTCAACTGATTAGGTCTGTTTGTAATCTTTTGCTAATACAAAGAATACTACAATAAATAACCTGTAATACATAATTTATTTCATCAAAAGAATTATTTTTATTTTTGCAGACAATTTTTTATCAGGAGCATTTGTTCTCTGCCTACAGACTAAACATTTAAAATAATATAGGTTTTTTTTCCCTCCCTGTCATTTTTTAATCATTATTTTTGCTAATAAAGCATTGGTCTTCCTAAATATTTTCTCACTGATGCCGATTTAAAATGCTTCAGTAGGACTCAGAAGTATGCCATGTGATGTAACCTTAAAGTCAGAATAACCTGCATTATAGCTGGAATAAACTTTAAATTACTGTTAAAAAAAATGCTTCATGTCAATACAAGTGGTTCAAAAAAAAGAAAAAAAAATTTAAAAAAAATGCTTCAGTATATATTCTAAAATGGATTGCTTTTGTACAACTTTATAAATTTACTAAAAATCAAGGAACTGGATACTGATAATGGGTGAATTGTTTGTAGATTATACCTCCATAAAGCTGTAAAAAGTGAAAGAAAATGCCTGAATGATTGAGAGTTCCTCTGTAAACTGTATTTTTTGTGTGTGATATTCAAAAGTTGATTCTTCTTTCTGACTTTGAAAAGTCTTCAGAATTCTATCACAAGTTTTCCTCACTCATTTTCATCCCTCCTTTTTTTTATGAGACAGAGTCTCACTCAGTTGCCCCAGCTAGAGTGCCATGGCGTCAGCCTAGCCCACAGCAACCTCATACTCCTGGGCTTAAGTGATCCTCCTGCCTCAGCCTCCCAAGCAGCTGGGACTACAGGCATGCGCCACCATGCCTGGCTAATTTTTTCTATATATTTTTAGTTGTCCAGCTAATTTCTTTCTATTTTTAGTAGAGACAGGGTCTCACTCTTGCTGGTCTTGAACTCCTGAGCTCCTGAACCCCTCAGCCTCCCGAAGTGCTAGGATTACAGGCGTGAGCCACTGCGCCCAGCCTTCATCCCTTCTTTGACTTCTACCTCAAGCCTCCAGCTGCCAATTTATGCAGATGGATCCTCAGTCAACAATTTTTAGTCCTAAACTAAAGCCTCATTTTGGATATCTCTCTGGGTGTTCTTTTGGATCCTGAACTTCCTTCAGGAAATCCCCAAATGCCAACATCACACCCTCCCTCATGCCAGCTCTTTCTTTTTCATTCAACAAATAATTACTGGTCTCCAACTGCTAGTCAGCCCCCAACTGGGGCTATAGCATTGAATAAAAGATAAATTCCTTGCCTGGATGGTACTTATGGTTGACTAGAGAGAGCAGACATTGCAAAGAGTATTGCAAGTTGTGTTTTTTTAAAAAGAAGAGGAGGAAGAAGAGGAGGAGGAGGAAGTAGGCAGTAGTACATGGTGCTGTGAGAATGACAAACCATGTCTAAGCTATGGTCTGCCTTGCCCTTTCCTTCTTGGTCAAATGGACTGCCTTCCACCTGACAACACCTGTCTTCTAGTCCCTAAGAAGATGCTACATCCATAAATTTTTCATATTTTTCTCAATCCCTCTTCTTTTCCATTGCAATCTGGCCTTTTTTGATGACCTCCTAATGGGCCTCCCTGCAGTCCTGCCAATGAAACACAAAGTAGGGCCATAATAATCTCAAACTCGTAGCTTAGTTATGCTGCTTTTCTAGGTAAAAACCTATAATTGCTTAAGGAATAAAGTCCGTACTCTGGATCTTTCTAACCAGATCCAATCTATGTTTGTAAGCATTTCTCTATCTAATTCTATTCCATCCTGAGAATTTGAAGTTCATTTCTTTTTCTCATGCCATTTTCTTTCTACCTGGAATGTTCTAGCCCAGTGATTCTCAAACTGAGATCCAAGGACCACCTGCATTGGCATCATCTGGGAAATTGCTATGAATGCAAATTTTGGGGCCCCACCCAAGGTCTACTGAATCAAAGTCTCTGTGGTCAAAGTTGAGCAAAGCCTGTTTTAATGAGTTCCCAGGTGATCTGAGCTGAAAAACACTGCCCAGGTCCAAGTCTTCCTCTTGAAAATTCTAGGCATCCATTCAAATTCAAATGTCATTTTCACCTCAAAGCCTAATTTCCATAGTGATAAATCACCTCCATTGACTTCCAAACTTCTAAACTTCCAAAAAACTTAATTTCTTGAAACGTGTTAGTATAACACCAATTTTTGTATTTTTAACTTACGTTACTTTGTTCCAAAAATGGGAGTCTAGTAATTAGGGTGCATTTTATTTGTGAGCTAATCGTGTGTCTATGGCTTAAATAACAGTGGTGGTGGAGGGTGATAGGGTTGGAAGAATGGTGATCCCACAGATTGATTAGAAAGAAAAGAGCTTTAAAAGAAGGCAAAAGTAGCTTTTGACTCAAAAGGAGTATGAGAGGAGTAAGGGGAGAAAGAAGACAATGGGGCAGAGGGTGGGAGAAAAGGCATTGGACAAAGACAAGAACTTTTTCTATTGTTTCTCTCCATTGTTTCTGTTGTCATGGGTGCAGGTGCTAACAAAACAATACAGATGCCAACTACCTGTACAAAGATGCCCCAGATGGCACTCAGTGGAGACAAAGAAAACTCCCTTTCTATTTTTTTCAGCATAATTTGAATGAAGGACATCTTTGAGTACATGATTTTAATAGTCTAAGAAATTTCAACCTACATATGCCATATGTATTTTCTCTGATAACTTATAATACACATACGAGCAAAAGATTGGGTTGAGACACACCTACCTGTCCAATTTTTCAGTAAAAGTCCGAAAAGGTCTTGGGGGGCAAAGAGGTTTGAGGCAAAAGGAGCAGGAGGAAATAGGAAATAAGATTGTTTAATTGTCCTTAGGGTCATGGAAAGTGAAATGGATACAGATAGCACATTGATACTTTTCTAGTATTTCATTCCATTCATTCCATTTTTACTTGTGCTAGAGTGGCCAATAATTAGGTTATTTAATGAGTATTGAATATACATCATGTATTTTTTTTTAGTCATCAAAAATCTTAAATGTAATAAACATGTTACCTGTGTTTTTGGTCAAGTATCTTGCTATAGCGAGGCTCTGGTGAAGGATAAGTCCGTCGACTTCCAAAATGGGGATTTTGCCAAATGGAAGAGCTTAAAAGAAAATGAGCAAAGAATCAACTTCATAACAAAACCAGGACTTATACTACTTCCATTTTTACGGATAATTATAGAAACAAAGCAGGATTTTAAAGTCATGGAATTCATAAATATTTATTCTTAATGGGACATTTGACAACCTCTAGTGGAGTCTTTACATTTTCTTAGTTAAAAAAAAAAAAGTGGGCCAGGTGCGATGGCTCACACCTGTAATCCTAGCACTCTGGGAAGCCAAGGCAGGCGGATTGCTCTAGGTCAGGAGTTCGAAACCAGCCTGAGTAAGAGTGAGACCCCGTCTCTACTAGAAATAGAAATAATTAATTGGCCAACTAATATATATATAGAAAAAATTAGCCGGGTATGGTGGTGCATGCCTGTAGTCCCAGTTACTCAGGAGGCTGAGGCAGGAGGATCGCTTGAGCCCAGGAGTTTGAGGTTGCTGTGAGCTAGGCTGACGCCACGGCACTCACTCTAGCCTGGGCAACAAAGCAAGACTCTGTCTCAAAAAAAAAAAAAAATTGTTAGAAAACCTGCTGTAAAGTTAGTGATGGAACTGGATCTAAAACTCAGATTTACAGTGATAGTATATACTACACTGTATATTACCTCATATACTAACCATTTAACTTTTTAAAACCTTTTCTTTTAAAGCTTTGTTAATTTTTGTGGCCTTAGTCACAGATCACAGCAATTATTATTATCATTATTATTTTTGAGACAGAGTCTCCCTCTGTTGCCCAGGCTAGAGTGCTGTGGCATCGGCCTAGTTCACAGCAACCTCCAACTCCTGGGCTCAAGCGATCCTCCTGCCTCAGCTCCCGAGTAGCTGGGACTACAGCATGTGCACCATGCCCGGCTAATTTTTTCTATTTTTTGTAGACACGGGGTCTCATGTTGCTCAGACTGGTTCCGAACTCCTGACCTTGGGCGATCCTCCTCTCGGCCTCCCACAGTGGTAGGATTACAGGGTGAGCCACCGCACCCAGCACCTAGTCTATGTTCACCATCTTAAAATCCCATGTATAAATTCTGATATCGGAAGAACATTTGGATATCAAATGGAATATCCTATCCCATCAGTGAAGAGATCTCTGCTAAGAAAAGAGTGATTATAGGAGCAATGATTCATAAGAAGCTCATGCTTCCAAAGCTATATGAAATTTATTGTTAATCTACTGGTTATGAAGTATAGTATTGCTATTGGCTGTCTGGTTGCATATATCTTGGGCTTGGTATTAAATTGACCTGGGTTTGAAACTCAGCTCTATTTGCCAGGGATGTGAGACTGGAAAATTACCAAACTCTTTGTGCATTTCAGCTACCCCAACTATGAAGTTGAGACGTAAATACATCT